CTAATCAAATTGGGACAAAAAAAGGTCCCAAATTTAGAAACCTCGGAGCAAAAGAAACAGAACCCAGAAACCAAAATCACACCACTGAATTGGCTTCGATTTCAAATCCCAGATCAAGTAAAAAAAATCAAAAGTTGAACAATTCGGTAAGAGAGAATCAAAAAGTCAAAACCTTTGTCCCATCTTGAACAGACAAACCAAGTAAAGAGACCCAAATCCCTAAAAAAAAAAAAACTCAAAAGAAAATCTGATGAGAAACACAGAGAAGCTTCATGTTCTTCTTCTCACCAAACTTAAGAGAAAATTGTAACTCCTTTTCACATCAAAGTAACAACAATACAGAGCAAATTCTGAGCGATAATCTCTCTGTCTTTGGTTTGATAATCTTCCCTTAAAAGTGACTAAAATGCCATTTGACTTTTTTTTTCTGATATATCAATCAAGTGCCTAATCTTTGCTGTTACTTGCTGTTCCAATTCTTTTTTCTCATATTATTAATCAAATTATATTCAATCCACGCATCATAATATATGATTATTTGAATTTTTAATACAATATTTTGATATCTTTTGGTGATTGGTTCTTATTTTGGGACCCATGAAAGCTTCTTTCTTTCCTCTTTTTCTTTACTGTTTTTTATTTCTCCATTGTTTTGAAAGCTCTTCAAGGTTTTTTAAGCTGGCTTTGTGCAACTATCTAAAGATCCTCCCTTTTCTTTTTTACTTTTATTTAATTTTGTCATGCTAATTCTCTTTTCTCAATCGTTTGGTAATCAACTTATACATGTATTACTCCCTCCGTTTCAATTTAGTTATCGTTTTATGATTTAAATTTTGTTTCATAATAGTTGTCGTTTTAGGTTTTCGATGCAAATGTTTGGTGAAAATTTCAGTTTTATCCCTACTGTTTTAATGTTTTGGCAATGAAATTTTTTATAAAATAAATTAACAAAGAGTAAAACAGAAAATTTAATGTTTTTCTTAATTTGTGTGAAAAAACCTTAAACGACAACTAAAACGAAACGGAGGGAGTATTAATTTATCGAAAATATATACGCCTATTTATTACTAATATTGTTTTTGTGTGTTAAGCTGTGTGTTGTTGACAAAAGAACTTTAGCTATTTTTTTTTTGTCATCTAAAATTAATTAATATTCAGAGAAGTCATTCCTAAATAATGTTATTTACATATGAGAACTTTAGCTGCTCTTTTACTACTACTACATAAAAGCTAATTAAACTAAAAATTAGCCGTTGAGATGTTATTTCCTTTGATCCAAGTGGACTTCTTTTCTTATACTTATATTTTCTTTTGTATTTCTATGTAAAGAGCTCTAAATTACGTAATTCGTCTGTTTCACCGATCTTTTTCTATATTTGTCTGAAACGGTTTTGAACAAGTAAATAATAAATATCCCAATTTATGATCCAACCCACGCATTTATTGATTGTAGTTATAACAGAACATGGGCTCATAAAAATGGCTAAATTTATAAATAAATATATGTCTTTATATAAAATAAATATTAAATATTAGTAGGTGATGTGGGGGCTCAACAATAGTGTAATTTAATATCCATATCTATAACATGTGGATCCTCACAAATACTAGTATAGATTTTTTTAATACTAGATTTTTTAAAAAAATAATCATATTATTGTAAATTCTTGTTAACTTCTTATGCACAATTTTTATTCATAGTTAATAACTTCTACGTTATTGCAAATCTGAAAACTGAATTAAATTAAATAATTAATCAATGTAGAAATGAAGGCAAAGGACAAAGGTGATTTGATTGTTAGAGCATGTGCAATGGGAGTCTCTCCATAGTCTCTCACATATAAAAGTATTAATAAAATAATCATTATTATTATTTAAATACAGGAGTCTCTAAAAAAAATGTAGAAAGTCTCTCAAATGAGAGACTCTCTCCATTTTGTTGAGAGACTTTTGTATTTAAATAAAAATATTAGTTATTTTATTAATCCTTTTGTATTTGAGAAATTATGGTGAGGACTCCTATTGCACATATTCTTATAGCTTATAAAACCTTGCTTAATGGTATCAAATCCAAATCTATGCTTACTCATGCAATGATTAAGTCAACTATCTATCTAAAATTACATTTTCACCCTTGATTAAATCATTTAATTTTGACTACTCAAACTTTTTCATAAAGTGGCTTTCCAACAAATTCTCGACGTTCCAATTTTAATTATTTTCTTACATGGTTTTTCTAAATTAAACAAGTTTGAAATTTCCTATATCGACTGTGTGCATAGTTATAAACACATACATAGAGAGACAAACAGAAGAGCAATAACATGATGGATGGGAATATGACGTTCACTTCTCCGACCGTGGAAATAAACACAACGGAAGTGGAGACGCACGTCGCACCAATTTCATGAGTAGAGAAGTGATATCTTTTGGCACAATTATTCTCGTAGTGTTTTTAATCATATCTCTTTCAGAAATTTTCCCTGCTAGACTATACTATGATAATCTTGAACTCAAGAATCTAAGTTTGACTCGAGAAGAAGGGTAATTTTTGGAACAATTTTCGCCGCTAATTTGATATTTTAAAGTTCTATACAATATACATTTTTATTATCCAAAGTTTCGTACATTATTTCAACTATACAGTTTCTCCAACTTGGTTTTTATATTCAACAACTCAAGAATTTGAAAGATCTTTCGTTCCAAAAATATATCGTTATTTTCATCATAACAAGGCAAATAAATATAGAGATGATTTGCATATGGGCTTCGTTTATACTTACTTCCCTTGTTCTTGGTCCCCAGAGAGTCTTCTATATTTTCTCCAACAACTTTGAAAGTCATAAATAAAACACAATATTTGAGGAAAAAAAAAAAAACACAATATATTATTTATTTGTTAATGCGTTTTATTGTAGCATTTTTGTTTTTGTAATTATTGTTTCAAAATTATTTATTTTGAATATTTAATTTCTTGGCACCTTTTACTATTTTGATGATGACCAAGTTTTCACTTTCAAAATGGGACACAGATCGTGGTTTTAGATGACCATGCATCAATAAAGTTATTTTCAGCTTTGAATATTTTTCATAATGGGATGTTTGGTGAAACATGCACAAACACAACATAAAAAGCCATATAATTAGGGACTTATAATAAAGAACGATTATTGCATGTTTTCTTTACACTGTCATGTCAGATTTCATATCATTTTAATTAAATTACATCACAGTACCTATATATATCAACTAGAGAGCTATAGTTTGATTTGTTAGCAAAAGAGAGGATAATTAGCCCAACAAAGTTTTTTTTGTTCACGTAAGTTTGTAGTTTGTAACCAATGAAATGGGTCATAACAAAATCCGCCCATATCTGGTTGACTGGTTTCATATCATAGACTCGGCTTGGGGTTTGTCAAATTCACATCTAACATACAACAAAGTCACAAATCTCATATGTTGGCCCAGGTCCAAGCGGCATACATCAATAAGAGAACTAGGCCCATTAGAAATACGAACTGGAACATAAACAAAATGACGAAAACACCCCTTCAAAAAGGAAACAGAAAAGGACTGAGACTCAAGAGAGGAAAAGGACAAAAAGAATGGGATAAAGAGAGAAGGTGTGTCAGAATTTGACCAGATTAGACCGGTCGGTACACAGAGTAAGGACGGCTCTGAACCAGTGTAGACACGTCTTGGCACATACTTCTCACATGTCTCTCTCTAAAATGTTGGGATGCTTTTTGGTGTGAAAGGGAGTGAAGATTTGCATGCTTCGTAACTCTTAGCTTCTCCATATCCATTCTTTACCCGACAACCTAATCTCTTCTGTCTCTTCTGACCGTTTTGGCCTCCCCTATTATTACTATTACGACCCTCTCCTTTGGGACAAATCACAATATTTGTCACTCTCTCTCTCTCTATATATATACCTTAAAAATCCGTTTGTCTTGTTCCGCAAGATCATGCTTAGTCAGAATTCATACGATTATTGTTATTCTGTCTTCATGGTATTGTCTAGATTTTTACTTTTTATAGCTCCTAAACAACATAAGATTTATAATTTATTATTACTATATATGATAATTGTACATGGTAAAGATTATCAATACATTGAAACATTTTTTTATCTGATGCATAGATAGGACCATAACAAAACGTAAAATTGATAATCAAGTTGGTTTAACGTAGAAATGTTGAATACTTTTATTTGATGTTTTAAATGTAGTTTTTTAGGTCCTGAATGCATTGATTCTACATTTCTACTGGTATTCTATTAAGACCATACACAATGGTACAATCTTTGGTTGGGTGTGAGTAATATAAAAAAGAGAAAAAATAGAAAAGTTGTGTAAAAGTTGTATGTTGGGTGTAAGTTTACACTTAGGTGTGACTATTAAAATAAAGAGAAATATTGCATTTTCTCTATCTCTCTCTATCCCCCTCTCTCTCTCTTTTTTCTCTCTCTTTAATTATAATAATAAAAAATTATTCACACCCAAACTCACACATGTGCTATTGTGTATGCTCTAAGGACCTGTAGTGATTCTACATTTATTCTTCTTTTTTTGGAAAAGATGCACACAACAACTATAAATAATTATCTTCAACTAAGTAAATTAGGCTAATTAAACATAAGCCCTTGACAATATAATGGTTGAATTATTGGGAACTGCTTTACATCGATAGCTCAATAGGCTCCTACATGTTGCCTACCCTATTGACATTCACTTCCCGGTAGACGCGTACTTTTGACATTCACATTTCAATTTTTAAGACAAATATTGCTTGTAGACACCTATTTAACTCTTAACTCAGAAATTCAAAGCCTATACAAGCTAAACACCATAATTAAAATTGAAACTCCAATAGCTTCTTTAGTCTCAGGCAAATGTGGTCATGATTTTTCTTTCTCTTCTTTATCATAAGTTCTTGACAATTTCGGTTTCTTTCAACATTCACTAATGTCTATAATTATTTATAAAAATGCCAACAAAACGTGTCACAGATTATGGATAGAGAGATTAGAGAATCGTGGTTTAATTTCATAATTTTCAAAACAGAAAATCTTGAAAGAAGAGCCACCTACGTATAATGAAGTAAAGAAACAGAGCATATCTTTCTCTCTCTATGTTCACAATAAACCCAACACTCTCTGTCAAAAAGCTTCACACTCTTCTCCTTCCCCATCTCTCTCTCCATAAAAGGAACCTCTTTCTCTCTCACAAAGTTCCAACCTTTAACACCTCAAAGCTTCAAAAACTCTCAACTTTCGACAAGCTCTCTCTTCTCAAAACCATGCCTTCTGAATTCAGTGAATCTCGTCGGATTCCTAAGCTTCCTCACGGCGGAGCTGTTGTGATTCCTACGGATCAACAAGAGCAGCTTCCTTGTCCTCGCTGTGAGTCAACCAACACCAAGTTCTGTTACTACAACAACTACAATTTCTCACAGCCTCGTCATTTCTGCAAGTCTTGTCGCCGTTACTGGACTCACGGAGGTACTCTCCGTGACATTCCTGTCGGTGGTGTTTCCCGAAAAAGCTCTAAACGTTCCCGGACTTGTTCCTCCGCTGCTACCACCACCGTTGTCGGAAGCCGGAACTTTCCCTTACAAGCGACGCCTGTTCTTTTCCCTCAGTCGTCTTCCAACGGCGTTAGCACGACGTTGAAGGGAAACGCTTCGTCGCTCTACGGCGGTTTCACCTCTTTGATCAACTACAACGCCGCCGTGAGCAGAAATGGGCCTGGTGGTGGGTTTAATGGGCCAGATGGTTTTGGACTTGGGCTTGGCCACGGGTCGTATTTTGATGACGTCAGATATGGGCAAGGAATAACGGTCTGGCCGTTTTCAAGTGGCGCTACTGATGCTGCAACTACTGCAAGCCACGTGGCTCAAATACCCGCCCCGTGGCAGTTCGAAGGTCAAGAGAGCAAAGTTGGGTTCGTGTCTGGAGACTACTTAGCGTGAGAGAGACTTTCACAGTAGCTTCTCTACCTCAGTCAGAGGGTTTCTCTCTTCTTCTTCTTTTAGCCTCTACCCTAACTTTCAGCTTTAGTTTTATCTCTTGTAGTGGATCTGTTTCTTATTTAGTTAGGTTACTTGTGAACGAAACTACAAATTAGAGAAACGTTTGTTTGTTTGTTTTTGGCTCTAATTAATGTCAATTCAATCTTCGGAAAACAGAACAGTCCACCTATCTAGGAAATGCAAGTCAGAAATTTATATTAGTTTGCCACATTGCGTTAACACAAACAAAAAGATAGTGACAATTCAAGAACGTGATCCTTTATCTAGTTCACGAATTTAATAAGGGTTTCTTGAACAAGACGATTACTTTTAGACTCTTATTATCGAGCAGATAAGTCGAAGAAACTACAAAAACAGAGAAAACATGTGTTGTTTTGGCTCGGATTAAACAACGCATCACTTATTTACAAAAAAACACTGTAACATAACATAGCTAAGGCAACATTTTTATCAACGAGAAAGAGGGTTGAGAGAAAGAGGCAAGTGTTGAGTTTCATTATATATTTACACAGAAAATGCAACTAGGAATGTGTTGATTTGAGTTAGGCTGCACCAAATAACATCAAATGTATATGTACTAAGTTAAGTGGAAAATGAAATTAGCCGAGCATCGATGGATGGCCACTGTGGAGTATCCTCTTGAACATATCCATCCCAAAGGCTGAGTCCGATGAGCTGAAATAAAACTTAACTCAATTCAACACTTTCATTTCGACATGATCTGTAAATAAGATCTCAAGAAAACAGTTTGATAGCTGAATAAAGTGGAGAATGATGTACCTTGGGATAGTGATCTCAAAAGGGCAGTAGATTACACCATCGTTAATGGGAGGAACGTGATCCTTCTTCTCATTCACAAATTTTATGATTTGGAATAAGACTTCCTGAAGGGATTGCTCAAGCAGTGTCCTACGAGAACTTCTCTCCTCAGATGCCTCTACAGTTATTGGATTAGAGCATGACAATTAATTCCCACTCAACAGTGTAATTTTTGGAGATGAGAAAAGGAAATTTCATCAATCTTACCTCCAGGGTCCATAACTAGTTTAGAATGGTGAGACTTTCCGACTGGGGGCTTAGCGGGCTGAAGCACATTCAGATTGATGTACCATTGTTCCCAGTACAAGCGTTCGATTTTGTTGGTGAACCAAGACGGCTGTTTGCTTTTGACTTCATAAAACGATAGACATATCTTGGCAATGACACACACACACACAAAAAAAAAAAAGATCATTAACAGCAACAAAGGATTGAGACAATGAAACGTGCCTATATGATAAGCTACAACCCTATATGCTGCAGAAACATTCAATCCCTTTTTAAGCAGGTATGAAATATGCGGTTCACTTTCAAAGGAAATCTATCGATACAATGTCAATGAAATGGTAATCAAGTATTTGCTATACCTGACTCTTCTTGTTTGGGTGTTTCTCAATCCAGTTTATGAATTGCTCAATCTTTTCATCAATTTTCTTTTCCACTTCTATTTCACCACATTGTACCTGTGACATATAGGAAAAAAGGAAAACCCACCAATATATCAAAATCAAAGCATACACACCCATCTGGCTAAACTTGTAACCTCTCTTCTATAGCATAACAAAACCATAGAGAGGAGAGAAAGAAACTGAAATCTTACGTATGTGATCTCAAAAAGCTCCAAATCAATATCTTTAGGGCGGATAAGACCAAGCGCACGATGAAAGACAATGGTATGTAGAATGCCTGCACCAAATTACACATTATCACATTTAAAGTTACACAGAATATAAAAAAAAGACAAATTCTACAACCAAATCAGACAAGAAGAAATTGAGCACCTACAAATTTCACTCAAGCTATTCAGATTCATGTATACAACTACACATAATTGATCTCCAAAACTCAAAATTCCAATCAATGTCTACAGGTATAAGCCTGAGAAAGACCTAATCTGGGATCTAAGGCACAAGATCTTAAACTAAAACATGATTAGATCCGTAAGATCCGATTTTGTTTCCATACAAAAACAATGAAACTGGATACAGAAAGTATGTTCAAGTGTCGGAAACTTACAGCGCAAAACTTCGCGAATCTCGAAGGATTCCACTTCCTGTGAAAAATATAAAAATCATTCAAACAAATCGATACAAAAAAATTTACGCTGTGGAACAATTCCAGAAATAGACATACGACTCGATGACTACAAAATTGGACTGATTTTTTAGCAAAAAGAAGAAGAAGAGATTTATACCAGTTCCTTGAGCTGACAAACTTCGCAATTCATATTTCACCGAAACAAAAACTCGAGTAAGAGAATTTTCCGATTTCGCTAGATTTCTCAAGAAACTGATTCCCCTTCTTTTTTTTTCTCGCAGATTGATTTCGGCAAATCCCATGGATATGGACAAACTTTTTATAAGCTTCATCATTTCTTTGAAACTTCTCCTGCTCGTATTGGGCTTATATAGGCCCATTTATTTATTTGACATGGCCCATTGCTCTTACGTAGAGTATACTACTTTCCTATAAGCCCTATTAGAACATCTCCAAATGGGACCTTATATTTGAGGTTTGCCAAACATCAAATTTGAGGTTTAGGGTTGTGTGTTTCCAAAGGAAAACCTCAAATTTAACTTCAAAAGAATTTGTATTTTGCATAATAGTCCTTGCTATTGATTATAATTACATAAAATCATAAAACTTTTATAAATAACAATAAAACATACATTAAAAATATTACAAACATTATTAATTAATAAAATACACATTATAAAATAAAATTACACAAAATAATAATAAAAACACAAACGAAATCTCAAATTAAAACTAAATTACCAAATTATTGAACCTAATTATTTCCGTAATGCTCCCATATATGATCAATCAATGCATTTCGAAGAGCTAGATGAGTTTCTTTATTTTTTATCTATAGATTACGAGATAAAAATTGTTGAAATCGAGTATTTTCGTTTATTGCCATTTCCACGGTTGCCTCTGGTACTGATCTTGCTTCTCTAATCGGTGTGGTGATATCACGTTCATCCTCGATTATCATGTTATGCATTATAATGCATGCAGTCATTATATCATGCAATACCTCTTTTTTCCAATAACGTGCTGCTCCTGCAATGATAGCAAACTTGGATTGTAGAACTCCAAACGCACGTTCAACATCCTTCCGACATGATTCTTGTCTTGCTGCAAATAATTTTTTCTTTGGACCTTGAGGATCACTTATAGTCTGAACAATAGTTGACCATTTCGGATAAATGCCATCAGCTAAGTAGTAACCCATGGTGTACTCTTGTCCCTGAATAATGTAATTAGCTGGAGGAGCGATACCTTGAGCAAGTTTTGAAAATAAGTTAGATGAATTCAAAACATTAATATCGTTGTTGCTGACTGGCATACCAAAATAGGCATGCCATATCCATAGATCGTAATCTGCCACAGCTTCAAGAATTATTGTGGGTGATCCGCTACGGCCTGCAAATTGTCATGCCCATGCAGTTGGACAATTTTTCCACTTCCAATGCATACAATCTAGACTACCCAGCATTCCAGGGAATCCACGTTGTTGGCCGATATTGAGAAGTCGGGCAACGTCCTCTGATGTTGGGACCTGAGATACCACTCCGAGAACAGTTCTACAATGGCGCGACAAAATCTCTTCATGCATTCAATTGCTGTAGACTCTTCTATTTTGATGTATTCATCTGCAGCATCAGCATGCATACCATAGGCCAAAATCCGAAAAGCAGCCGTTACTTTTTGGAGGTGGATAAGCCCATTTTACCAGTCACAAGACGATGTTGGGTGAAGTAGTTGTCATGTTGTTTAACAGCATCAACAATGTGGAGAAATAACTTCTTTGACATTCGAAATCGACGATGGAACTCTCTCTCACCATACACATGATTATTAGAAAAATAATCATTGAATAAATTAAGATGAGCATTTTCTCAATCACGTTGTATAACTGCATGACCATGAATAGAGCCTCGATGACTTACATGATCGCTTTCTTGAGTAATTTGGTGAAGAAGGTGGTTGTTGTTGACATACAAATTTGCTGCAATTTGTTCTTCTCTCTCTGTTGATGCATTTTCATTCATCAGCCATTCATCAAACTCAGATGAGTCTGAAGAAGAAGACGAATTTATAAAAGAAGATGGCTCTCCAATATTAAAATTCATTTTTACTAAGTTGTGATGTTGTGATGTTTTTGGTGAAACGTCCATGTATACATTTTTATAGATATATATTTTTTATTTGAGAAGATAAGGAAATCTTTCTAATTTAATCTACACCATCCATTAGATCTCTCATATTATCAGCCGTTGGATTAAAATCATATCCAATCCATCCAACTTGATAAGAAAATCTAGAAAATTGATTTGTAGCCATTCATTTGAAATCTTTTACATCCATTATTGTGTATAAATAATACACTTCATGCAATGAAAAAAATCACACTTCAAACAACTCATTTTATAAACAATATGGAAAAAAGTAGAGGCTCATCATTCACTCAACAAGAAGATGAGTTATTGTGTCGTGTATATTTAGAAATATCCCAAGATCCCATTGGTAGCAATAACCAAGCTATAGGGAAATTATGGGAAAAAATTAAAAAAAAGTTACAATAGTCAAAAAAATGGGAGTTGGGAAATTAGAAGCAATAGGTCATTACAAGGTATAATGAATACTATTATTTATGCGGTTAGGAATTTGAAGAGTTGCATAATCCAAGTGGAGAATATGCATCCAAGTGGTGCGTCGGAAATTGACATTGTAAGTATATAATTTTTTCTACTCTAATTATATATGATATATGTTTGTGTAAATAACTAAATTTTTTGTTCTAAATGTTATGCAGATGGAAAAAGCCAAGAAATTGTTGGTACAAGTTGAAAAACTAAAGAAAGGTTTTAAATTCGACCATGTATGGAATTTGCTGAAGGATATTCCAAAGTTCACAGACAATGTTAGCGTCGGTATTCCAGATACTCCTAACACCGAGAGCGATATCGCCAGTTCTCCAACATCACAATCTCCGGGAATGTCATCATTTTCAATCAATTTAAGCAGTGAAGACGGTGGATCAAATTCATCACAACGTCCCATTGGATCGAAGAAAGCAAAACTCAAAAGAAAGATTGCAGAAGGTAATAATTCATCTGTTGACACTTTGGTTTCTTCAAACAAACAAATCCTAGATTTCTTAAAAGAAAGTGCAGCAACTAGGGAAAAAAGTTACGAGCTAGCTGAATTGCGTATGCAAAATCAAGCAAAAAAGTTAGCCCTAAAAGAAATGCACGAGGAGAATAAAATCTTGTTAAAAGATTTAGACACTATTGCTGATAGTAATACCCGTGAGTATATTCGATCTGAACAAGCAAGAATCATACAAAAAAGAAATCAAGAACAACCACAACAATCTCCAATTTCACCAAATTTTTATGGACCATATTTTGGTGATCTTGGAGGTTCGGGATCAAATTTACCTGAATATTAGTATTGTTGTAATATATAATTTGTATAATATTTATGTTTTCATGTAATTTTCTTTTCTTTTCTTGTTTTATTGTGTAATAAATTTGCTTAATGTAATATTGTTATTGTGTAATATTTGTTTTTAATGTTATGTAATATTTTATATTATTTTAAAGTGTTTCTTTATTTTTATATGAAAAAATAACTTTCTATTTATAAGACATAAAAATTTAAGGACTAATATGATAAAATAATAAATTAGTAAAAGTATTTCTAAAATATAAATAATTATGAGGACCAAAATGCAAATAAAAAAGATGAAACCTCAAAATTTGAGGTTTTGAGGTTGCCTTTGGAGAACCAAAAACCTTATATTTGAAGATTTGAGGTTTCCTTTGGAGATGCTCTTATACGAGTCCGTCACCAAGACACCAATGGTTGAAGAAGTCTCTAATGTTTGATGAATCTGGATGATGATAATACTAGATTACATGTACGATTTGCGTTGTTTTTTTTATCCACAATGGGTTGATTCTGAGGAGGGGATTCTTTAGGAAGCTTACTCGTTAGACCGCAAGAGATTTCGATTAGAAAAAACACATGAATAGAATTGTATATAGGAAGATTATTATAAAACTCCAATCTAGCCTACCAATGAACCATAAATTTCCTCTTCCCTTTAAGTGTAAACAGCCCGCAGCCATACTCTCATGACCAGAAAGAACAGACCAAATTGAATCGAAAAAACCTTTTTAAGTAAATAACTTTAAGAAAGAACAGAGGAAAACTATAAGAGGATCTCTCTAAAGGTGTCTTCCAACAGCTTTGCCACAGAATTGAAGATTGTCAGGAGGATTGTATTCATTGGCAAGACTCTGCACTGGATTCCATACTTTTAGATAAAACTGTTGTCCTGAATATTGTCTTTCCCATATCGCTGATCTCATATTCCACATCCCTTGATTGTCCAAAGACACCAAGATTGTTGTCCAAGACTTTGGGTAGACCTGCATTTATCCCATAAATTACAACACATCAAGAACACTAGAAACAAATCAAAGTTTCTGACTCTTTTTGTTGTTGTTGTTGTTTTACCTGAGTAGTGTGTCTGGTAAGAGCATCAACAAGATTGTAGAGTGATCTTTTTGCAGGTGTCCATTGTCCAGAACCAAATCTAGATTCATAAGAGAGAAACGTTAGCAAAAATCTTACTTGAGTTAGAAATAATACGAGCGGTGACAGAAGAAGACTCACCCAACGACCCAGAAGTCATATCCGTCAAGATGCCAAGACTGCATTGACTTCTCATTGTTCTGAAACACAATTTCAAGGAAATCATGGAGAGATGTTTGAACAACGGATGTTGCAACAGTTGGAGGAGAGTTAGAAGGGACGCTTTGAATGGCGTTGGTGCTGAAAACTCCACTGATTCCAAAGTGATCAGCGAGTTTAAGAGGCGTCTCTGAGTTTACATAAGAGACTCCATTGACTGCATATCTTTGCTTTCCATTAATTAAAGGAGCTGAATTTGAGAACACAAATGACTTCGTTGGAGTGATCATTCCATAGTGGAATGATCCTTGAGGGTTTGGTCTAGCTGCATTTGCTGTTAAGTTCCACCTAAGCCCAAGAAGTAAACACCATTCATAATCTAATCCTTCGGATTTAAACATTTCTACGTTCTTTATAAGTAACTGATCTTTGTACCTGAAGGTTCTAGCTTGTCTCATGGACCAAACAAGCTCTCCAGGTGGAAGAGCAGGCTGATCACCAGAAGCTGGGACGCGGGAGTTAGAATAACGCAACAAACCCATAACAGAAACTTTGCTTCTAACGAACCGGGTGCTTGCGACGATGTAATAATCTCTAGGAGATTGGTTTAAAGTAACAAGAACAGCTAAAGACTGGCCAACATGAATGTCAAGAGAATCATAATCAGTTTGAATAACATGAGAGCCTTCAACTTCAACTACTTTCATTGTATGTCCTTGGATTCTGAAATTGAAACTGCTTGATAAACCAACATTGGAGATTCTGAACATATAAGTCTTCCCTGAAAGATTAAACCATACAGACAAAGTAAAACAAACAGAACCAAATCACTCAAACAACACAATTCATGGAAACTGAGACATTCATGATTTACCTTGGTCGCCTGAAAATGTTGATTGAGTTTGTCCATTTATGAGCATCCCATCGGGAAATGGAAGAACCCCACCAGAATCCAAACGCTGTTGAAGCGTTTTGTGGTTGGTTTTAAACCAATCACCAACGAGTAAAGTGAAATCTGCGGTTGGGAGAGGGTAAGGGATTGGGATTCCAGGTCTTGCGTAGACATTGATGGCTCCGAATCCACCCGCGGCTTTGTGAAAAGCGGTGGAAGGGAAGTAATGGAAAGTTCCAATCTGATCTTTGGTTTGGAATTTGTAAGTGAAGTTTGAGTTTGGTTGGATCGGACAGTTTGTTCCCAAAACACCATCTTGCCATGAGTTCTTCCTCTGCTTAATCCCATTCCTAAGCCACACACGTTGAACCAGATCAAATACCAATTTCAAGTGTGAACCCAATTAGCCTAAAACTCTAAATTGATCGATAAAGTTTTCAGCTTTTTCGAGTTTAAACACTAAAGATCAAATCTTTCAGAGGACTAATCCACAAATGCCTTAAAATATAAAGATACATTAATCAACTGGGTAACGCAAAACAGAGGACTTATTCTTTTGGAAGCATTTGAAAATAATAAAGTTCAAATCTTTAGGTTTTTTTTTTTTTTTTGAATCAGAAAATAGTGAAATTACCAGGTCAAGAGGAAAGGCTGGTCAAGTTTGTTGATGAGGTTGAGGATGATGTTGTCATTGGTCACAACATCAAGCTTTGGACCAGGAAACTGACCATTGATGAGAATAACCTAAACAGACAAACAAACAAAGCATCCATAAAGAGTATAAAAGGTCTGAGTATCAAACAAAAGTGGGATTCAGAGTTTCTATAAATGGAAACTACTGTTGTTATTGTTGTACCTGTTGAGGAACACCAAGAGGAGAGATAATGCCATAAGTCACAGTCCAAGTGTAAAACTTGTAAGGGCTTTCTCCTTTCACTATCACCAAACTGCTTAAAAGAGTCAAAGCTCCAAGAAGAAGAAGAGGATTAAGCAAGGATGCTGTTTTTATTTTCATGGCTTCCTAAAAGAATGATACAGACAAAGAGATTGAAGACAGCTAACAACTCTTCTTCTAAATGGGTTTGAGAGAAATGTAGGGACTTTGGTCTATAAAAATGCAATTAGATAGCGAAAGTTGTGGGTGACATAAGTAAGTGAGAGAAAAAAAGAAGTCACAAAGGTGGTTCCAATCAATGACAGGTGAAGATCTCGAGTGTTGCTTTTATTTTATTGTTTTTTTCGTTTGGTCAAATAAAATCATATTCAACTCCCTCATAAATCAACTTCAACAATTTTTTACACCCTTTAGATTTTAAAGTCAGAACTATAGATCTTATACATAGTTGACGGCAGATTTGATCTTATACATTATCCAGTATCATTCACATTTGTAAATGCTGGTCTGGTTTGTTGTAAAAGTATAAATTTTGCTGGTTTTGTTGATTAGTGTAAAATGAAATAAAGTTGTTAATGTGAAAAAGGTGGTAGTGGATAATGCGGTGACAACGGAAATATTGAATGGTTTCACGCGTTTTGGTTTATATGATTATTGCTTCCAGCCAAAGCTTAGCTTTCATTATTCGGATAACGGATACCATAAAAAGCTAAATGGAATTAATTTAAAACTAGAAAACGAAAAAGGAAAAAGTGGAAAGATATTGAGTAAAACAGACAAGAGTTTTAGTTTTAAGAAAAATGTTTCCTAATTAATCGCCGCTGATTAGATTCTACCTTTTGCACTTTTCTTCACGTTTACGACCAAAGATAGAAGCAAAACAAAACAAGAAAGCTTTTTATTTTTCTTGGCAACTAATTAACGAAGTTTCTAGTTTTCTACTTAAAAGAAAAGTTTTTATACTAGTATTATGCTTTTGGGAAACGAGCATCTCTTGTGATGGGCTCGGCGTTGAGCTATTGAAAGTTGTGCCATTTTTCCTGATTTATTGTAAATCTGATACTGAAAATGATAATTTAATTTAATTTGTTTGGTGAATTCCAAAGTTTAAAACTGTAAGTTGCAAAAGTTGACAAAAATAACTCGCCGTTGGGAAATTAGTCGGTGAAATATGGTCCACCTACTATTAAGCAACACAATGATGTATCCGGGAGGATTTTTATATAATGAAGCATGTGAGGAGTAGTTGATTAAGCATCATTGTCTTCATAATTCATTAAAATATTAACCACTAATTTTGATTATTTGTTCTTCTAGACTCGGGCTACCTTTTTTGGTTACATGAAGTGTTCGCAAATGAGATGTACATTACTTGATTGTAGTGGCTTTTTGTCGTCTCCGTTTGTGATTGTCTTGGATCCTGTTTTTTGGGTTAGATTGTGTGGTTATAACTAAACAGTATCTTCGATATTTTGAATCATTCAGACGAAAAAAAAAAAAAAAAAACTCTTAATGACCACTATTCAGACTAAACGAGTAATATAAAAGAGTCAACATGGGCTTGACCCAATTCGGACATGTGGAAGTTCTCACAAATAATGGTCAGATGTCTCTTGTTTTGATCCTATTTTATTTATCTGAAACGAAATTACGAGCCATTGAATTGAATTGTAGGGTTTTTCTTTTGGTCGATCTATGGGTTTTAAAGTTATGAGCTTTTTTCAATTACACACTATTTCTCTGGGCCCATGTATATAGTATAAGGTCTATCTCAAATGGGCCGATTAAGGAAAACTATAATATATAAATGGGCCTGAAACTTTTATTGTAATGACGTCAGAAAAACAAATTTCGAGGTACTGTGAAGTGAAGTCAACAACGACGACCGAGATTGCTTTGCAAGTAAGCTAAAGCTAAAGCATCTGACTTCGTCTTCCTTGTCTAATCTTGTCGACAAAATCTTAAACACAAAGCTTACTATTACAATCTTATTAGTCCATAACTTACTATTACAGATTTTTACAGAAAAAATCTGTGAGTTATTTTTTCATTCTTTGTTTTCTCTGTTTTGCCAAATTTCCGAGGAAACAAGAATGAACGATTGGCTTAGTTTGGTATTAGGAGCTTTGGCCTCCGAAGGTCTGAAACTTTTGATTGCTGAGGCAAAGAAGGTTTTAGCTTTCAAATCTGTGTCTAATGAGCTCGCATCGGATATGGAGTTTTTGCTTCCGGTGACCAGCCCCGGCTCAGATGGGTAGGGCGGAAGTGCGACGGCCCGGGGCTTTTTTTTTTATAAAAAAAATTTACATATAAAAAGGTCCAAATATTTTTTTAAAATATTATTAATATGAGAATTATATTTTAAGAGGCCTAATTATTTATAAGAAAATGTATAAAAAGGCCCAAAATTTTTAAAATAACAATTTTTACTATAAAAACTCCGCAAAATTTTTAAAAATTAAGTAAATTTTCTCTTTGTATATAATAATAGGCCAAAAAAATTTTTTTTGCCCTAAGGCTCTCAAATATATTGAGCCGGGGCTGCCGGTGACCACACAGATCGAATCGTTGCAAGATGTTATGGAACTACAAGATCTTAAAGACATGATCGTTGAAGCTCTTGTAGTGGTTGAGGAGTGTTCACGTATCAAGAAGTGGAATATACTCTTGAAATCTAAGTACACGACAAAAGTTGTGGAAATCAATAGGAAGATGTTCAAGTTCTGTCAGGTTCAACTACAGCTTCTTCAGTTTAGGAACCAATTGCAGTTTAACAATTATCTCCAGATCATCAATAAGAAGCTCGATCTTTTGAGTGTTTCTTCTCCCTCTCCTGTTTTCTCGAAGCGTTGTTCGGTTCCCAAGCTTAATACGGTTCTTGTTGGATTGGATTGGCCATTGATGGAGCTGAAGAAGAAACTCCTTGGCAATTCAGTGGTTGTGGTGTCTGGTCCTCCTGGTTGCGGGAAGACCACGCTGGTTACTCAGCTTTGTGACGATGATAAGATCAAAGGTATGAAGTGTCTTAAAGTTTTGATCTTTACACATGTTTCTTGTTTCTCACGTAGTGTATCCATTGGCAGGTGAATTCAAGAAAATCTTCTTTAGCGTTGTGTCGAACACCCCTAATTTCAGGGCCATAGTACAAATTTACTTCAGGACAACGGTTACGGAGCAATTACATTTGACGATGATTCTCAAGCAGAAACTGGCTTAAGAGATCTGCTGGAGGAACTCACAAAAGATGGTCCTATATTGTTGGTGTTGGATGATGTGTGGCGTGGATCAGAATTCTTGCTTCGGAAATTTCAAATTGAATTAGAAGATTATAAGATTTTGGTGACTTCTCGGTTTGACTTTTCGAGTTTATGGTCCACTTATCATTTGGAAACTTTGAAAGATGAAGATGCTAAAGCCCTTCTCATTCAATGGGCATCGCCGCCTCTACATACATCTTAAGATGAGTATGAAGATCTTATCCAAAAGGTATTATTAGTTTCAACCTTCTAGTTAGTGAAAACACTAGATTAATCTTTTTCTTTTTTCACATGGATTGTAGATATTGAAACGTTGCAATGGATTCCCTCTCGTAATTGAAGTAGTCGGCATTTCACTTAAAGGACAAGCTCTGTATTTATGGAAAGGCCAAGTGGAAAGCTGGTCTGAAGGGGAAACAATTCTTGGTAACGCTCATCCTACTGTCCTAAAACGTCTGCAGCCTAGCTTTAGTGCCCTGAAACCCCATCTTAAAGAGTGTTTCTTGGACATGGGTTCATTTCTTGAGGACCAAAAGATACATGCTTCGCTTATAATTGACATATGGGTGGAATTATATGGTAGAGGTAGTACTAGTACTAACATGTACATGAAATACCTTAATGACCTTGCTTCCCAGAATCTGCTTAAACTTGTTCCTCTCGGGTATGTTGTTGTTTCTTTTTCAACATTTGTTTCATTGCACCTTTTTGGCATCTACCATTTGATCTTGAACTTATTTGTTTTACTTACCAGGACAAATGAGTACGAAGACGGATTCTACAATGAGTTGTTAGTCACTCAACATGATATTCTGAGGGAGTTGGCTATTTTTCAAAGCGAACTGGAACCAATCCTGGAAAGAAAAAAACTAAATTTGGAGATACGAGAGGACAACTATCCGGACTGGTGTTCGAATCTAAGGCAACCTATTAATGCTCGACTTTTGTCTATTTCTACGGGTAATTCTTTCAGATTCTCTTTTTTGTTCTGAAAATTGTGCATAGAGATTATATATCTGCTGTTTCTAGAAATATGACCTCCCGATAAACTATGCTCGGGTCTTTTTTTTGGTTACAGATGATATGTTCTCATCGAATTGGTTGGAAATGGATATATTGCCCCAATGTTGAGGCTTTAGTTCTTAATGTATCTTCATCAGACTATGCATTGCCAAGCTTCATTGCCGGAATGAAGAAGCTGAAGGTTCTAACTATCACAAATCACGGTTTTGTTCCAACAAGATTAAGCAATTTCTCGTGTTTGAGCTCATTACCAAATTTGAAACGGATTAGATTGGAGAAAGTTTCAGTCACTTTGCTAGACATTCCCCGATTGCAACTAGGCAGTCTTAAGAAGCTATCTTCGCTCATGTGTAGTTTCGGTGAGGTTTTCTATGGGACTGAAGAAATAGATGTCGCTAAAGCCCTATCGAGTTTACAAGAGATTGACATAGACTATTGCTATGATCTTCTTGAGTTACCTTATTGGGTCTCTGAAGTTGTTTCATTGAAGACCCTTAGCATCACAAACTGTGATAAGCTCTCTATACTTCCAGAAGCTTTGGGCAACTTGAGTAAACTGGAAATGTTGAGGTCATGTTCTTGTAATAATCTCACTGAGTTGCCTCAAGAGATTGGCAAACTAGAGAAGCTGAAAATGATCTGGATGAGGAATTATACGGGATGCAAGTTACCTGATTCAGTGACGAACCTAGAGAATTTGGAGGTCAAATGCGATGAAGAAACTGGATTCTTGTGGGAAAGATTGAAGCCAAAAATGATAAATTTGAGAGTTGTCAAGGAGGAAATAGACTTATCGTCAACATGGGCTTGACCATATTCGGACATGTGGAAGTTCTATTGCTCTGAAATTATGTGTTTTTTTTCTTCTAAATAAATACGCATGTTGTGTTGGGCCGTAGAAACATAAAAGGCATAATTGAATACTGGCCCAATATAGAAAGGCTTACTCTCGCACGTATGAAGAGAGCACGAAACACGTTCCGTCTATCGAACCACGTGTGGTTAACGTAGAAAGGCAAAACGCAAACGCAGCCGCCATTTTCAGGTTATTGCACGGCAATGGGACCGAGTCTGAGAAGTCAAAGCAATAAAGCAATTCGTCCCCTTTGTCTATCTACTACCATCGTTTTCCACATACATCGATAATTCCAGAGATCCCCTTTTTAGCTTGTTTGATTTTCAGCGATTCTACAGACAAAATCTGAGAGTTTTTTTTTCTTTTTTTGGGTTTTCTCTAAACTTTGAAAGAATGAACGATTGGGCTAGTTTGGGATTAGGTTCTATTGGGGGAGCTGTGTTTTCCGAGCTCTTGAAACTTGTGATTGAAGAAGCAAAAAAGGTCAAAGCTTTCAAACCCTTGTCCAAAGATCTCGTATCAACAATGGAGAGATTGTTTCCGTTAACTCAAAAGATTGATTCGATGCAAAAAGAGCTTGACTTTGGTGTAAAGGAACTTAAGGAATTGAGGGATACGATTGAAAGAGCTGGTGTAGCTGTTCGAAAGTTTCCAAGCGTCAAGTGGTACGAGAAATCTAAATATACTAGAAAAATTGAGAGAATCAATGAGGATATGCTTAAGTTCTGTCAGATTGATCTCCAGCTTCTTCAGCATAGGAATCAGTTGACGTTGTTGGGTTTGACGGGAAATCTTGTGAATTCGGTTGATGGTTTAAGTAAAAGGATGGATCTTTTGAGTGTCCATGCGCCTGTTTTTAGGGATCTTTGTTCGGTTCCCAAGCTTGATAAGGTTATTGTTGGATTGGATTGGCCATTGGGGGAGCTAAAGAAGAGACTCCTTGACAATTCCGTGGTTAGTCTTGTGGTTTCTGCTCCTCCTGGTTGCGGGAAAACAACGCTGGTTAGTCGGCTTTGTGACGATCCAGATATCAAAGGTTTATACATTAAGTCTTAAAGTTTCGATTTTTACTCTTGAATTGTTGACATTGTTTCTCATGTAGATTTCATTGGCAGGGAAGTTCAAGCATATCTTCTTTAGTGTTGTGTCAAGTACTCCTAACTTTAAGGTCATAGTACAGAATTTACTCCAACACAACGGTTATGAAGCACTTACATTTGAGAATGATTCTCAAGCAGAACTTGGTTTAAGAAAACTGCTAGAGGAACTTAAAGAAAATGGTCCTATATTGGTTGTCTTGGATGATGTGTGGCGGGGAGCGGAGTCTTTACTTCAGAAATTTCAAATTAAATTACCGGATTATAAGATTTTGGTGACTTCTCGGTTTGACTTTCCGAGTTTTGGTTCCAGTTATCATTTGAAACCTTTGGAAGATGAAGATGCCAGGTCCCTTCTCATTCATTGGGCATCGCGACCTTCTAATGCGTCTCCAGATGAGTACGAAGATCTCCTCAAGAAGGTTGTTGTTTTATTCATCTAGATGAACCTATACATTTGTGATCTAAGAATTCTGATAACTATATCAATAGATCCATCTTTTACTTTTTTCATATGGTGAGCTAATGCAGATATTGAAACGTTGCAATGGATTCCCAATCGTAATTGAAGTAGTCGGCGTTTCACTCAAAGGACAATCTCTAAATACATGGAAAGGTCAGGTGGAAAGCTGGTCAGAAGGGGAAAGAATTCTAGGTAATCCTCATCCAACTGTGCTAGAATGTTTGCAGCCTAGCTTTGATGCCCTGGAAACCAACCTTAAAGAGTGTTTCTCGGACATGGGCTCGTTTCTTGAGGAACAAAAGATACGTGCTTCAGTAATAATTGACATGTGGGTGGAATTATACGGTAAAGGTAGTAGTATCTTGTATATGAAGTACCTTGAAGACCTTGCGTCCCAGAATCTGCTTAAACTTGTTCCTCTCGGGTATGTTATTTCTGTTTCAAATCTATATCTTTGCACCTTCTTGCCATCTACCATTAGTGGAACTTATTTATTTCTTTATCAGCAGAAATGAGCACGAAGACGGTTTCTACAATGATTTCTTAGTCACTCAACATGATATCCTTAGGGAATTGGCTATCCGTCAAAGCGAATTAACGGAAAACATAGAAAGAAAAAGACTAAATTTGGAGATAAGAGAGAATACATTTCCAGACTGGTGTTTGAATCCAAGACACCCTACTATTAGTGCCTCTTTATTGTCTATCTCTACGGGTAATTTTTTGAACTTAGTGATTATACAAATCTCTGCTGTTTCTAGAAATATGACTTCCCTATAACTATGATTGGTCTTTCTTTTTCTTGCAGATGATTTGTTCTCATCGAATTGGTTGGAAATGGATTGCCCCAATGTTGAGGCTTTAGTTCTTAATCTCTCTTCACCAGACTATGAATTGCCAAGCTTCATTGCTGGAATGAAGAAGCTAAAGGTTCTGACAATCACAAATCACGGTTTTTATCCAGCAAGATTGAGCAATTTCTCGTGTCTCAGCTCATTACCAAACCTGAAACGGATTAGATTGGAGAAAGTTTCAGTCACTTTGCTGGACATTCCCCGATTGCAACTAGGCAGTCTTAAGAAGCTATCTTTGGTCATGTGTAGTTTCGGTGAGGTTTTCTATGAGACTGAAGAAATAGATGTCTCTAAAGCACTATCGAATTTACAAGAGATTGACATAGACTATTGCTATGATCTTGATGAGTTACCTTATTGGGTCTCTGAAGTTGTTTCATTGAAGACCCTTAGCATCACAAACTGTAATAAGCTCTCTACACTTCCAGAAGATATGGGCAACTTGAGTAAACTGGAAATGTTGAGGTTGTGTTCTTGTAATAATCTCTCTGAGCTGCCTGAAGCGACTGAGAGACTCAGCAACTTGCGGTTTCTGGATATTTCTCATTGCTTAGGATTGAGAAAGTTGCCTCAAGAGATTGGCAAACTAGAGAAGCTGAAAAAGATCTGGATGAGGAAGTATTCGGGATGCAAATTGCCGGATTCAGTGACGAATCTAGAGAATTTGGAGGTCAAATGCGATGAAGAAACTGGATCCTTGTGGGAAATGTTGAAGCCAAACATGATAAATTTGAGAGTTCACAAGGAGGAAACAGAGCATAACCTGAACTGGCTTCAAACGTTTTAAGTTTTGAGTGAAAAAACATTTTCATAGCTTGTGTGGGTCTTGTAATGTTATTCTCATGTAATCCAATGTAAATGGAATGGTTCTTTAAAATATTATTTAATAAAACTATATATGTGCATATGTGCCAGCGAGAGAGTATTTTACAAGTTGATTAATGCTTTTTTTTTTTTGGTTAATATTGGATTATTGGTTGTTATCTAACATATAATGTCGATAATTATTTCCAAGTAGATTGAGATTGAATTAAAAATTTGGATGATAGTTTTGTATTATAAGCTGGAAATTTTTTTGTTCCTACTGAGAAAATGTCATGCCAAACATTTTTGTGTACGCCAATCTTTTTAAACCATTTAATACTACTAAATACTTGGTCCTTATCTAAATTGAATAAATTTGAACAGAGTTATTCACCAACATTTTTGACAAACTATAATAGTAATATTCAACATTCTTCATTTTAATTTAAAATATAGTCTTGTAAATTCTTTGAAAATCCTAAAATATGAAGTCTATCTCATCATATAGAGCCTTTAAGAAGAAAAAGTCAAAAACAGTAGTCAGATGCAAGAAATTATTTCTTATTAATTACAAAGGGATCATACTGGATTTTTATTTTCCAAAAAATTGTTTTTCCCTGCAAAAATCACCACTTGTGTAGTAAAATAAAACCTTTTAAAGAGATTTTTTATTTTTATTTTTATCACATTTTAATCTAATCAATAAGCATATTTCTTCCGTGTTGGTCAAGTCACCTTTTTCCTTTTGCTAATTAAACTTATCTTATGGGATTGATATAAGTTTCTCCATTCAAACTCTGTGTTTTATTCAAAGTACCGCCTGACTTTTCCGTTATAAATTCATCTAATGGGTTTTGTGAAGAGTCACGTTTATATAATAAAAGAAAGAGTCAGTCAATAGAGTAAATTTCTATTATATTTCTTTGTTTTCAGCATTGGATCTTAATTAATTCATAAATCTTCTTCATTCATAGGAACCATTATGGATTCGAGATCGGTCCAAAGCTTTGAAGCCTTGCCCCATAATCTTCGAGAGTGTTTCTTGGACATGGCCTTATTTCTTGAAGACCAAAGGATAATTGCTTCATCTATTATTGACTTATGGTCTGCATTATACGGTAAAGAGAGCTTCATTTGTATGAATTACCTCCAAGATCTTGCCTCCCACAATCTCCTTAAACTTCTTCCTCTTGGGTATGTTACTTTCCCACTCATCTACCAATTCTTGACCCTAAAGCCTATAGAAAATGGTTTCACCCTATTTTTCATTATTTTTAATAGATTTGTTTTCCCAACTTTCCTTTATTTATTTGCTTTAATATAGGAGAAATGAGTATGAAGATGGTTTCTACAGTGAGTTATTGGTTAAACAAGAAAACATCCTTAGAGAATTTGCTATAAATCAATGCGAAAAAGAGTCGTCTTCGATTTTCGAAAGGAAAAGATTAAACTTGGAGATACAAGAAAACAAATTCCCAAACTGGTGTTTAAATCCAAAACAACCTATTGTTATTAATGCATCTCTAATTTCTATCTCTACCGGTAATATAATTATTTCTTCACTCTGTTTCACACACCCTTTAAGCATATTTACTTCATATGATTGATCTTCTTCTTTTTGTTTTGTTTTGTTCTTAGATGATTCATTTTTATCATCAAGTTGGTTTGAAATGGATTGTCCAAATGTTGAAGCTTTAGTTCTTAATCTCTCTTCATCAAACTATGCATTACCAAACTTCATTGCGACAATGAAGGAATTGAAGGTTGTGATAATCATAAATCATGGTCTTGATCCTGCAAAGTTAACCAACTTGTCTTGTCTCAGCTCTTTACCAAACCTGAAACGGATCAGATTCGAGAAAGTATCAATCATTTTGCTTGACATTCCCAAACTTGGTCTCAAGAGTCTTGAGAAGTTGTCTTTATGGTTGTGTCACTTTGTTGATGTTCTCAACGAATTAGAAGTTAATGATGTTTCTAAAACTTTACAAAGTCTACAGGAAATCGAAATTGATTATTGCTATAATCTTGATGAATTACCATATTGGATCTCTCAAGTTGTTTCATTGAAGAAGCTTAGCGTTACAAATTGTAACAAGCTTTGTAGACTCATAGAAGCTATAGGTGACTTGAGGAATCTTGAAATGTTGAGACTTAGTTCTTGTACTAGTCTCTTAGAACTGCCTGAAACGATTGATAGACTCAACAATTTGCGGTTTCTTGATGTTTCTGGTGGCTTCCAATTGAAAAAACTACCTCTAGATATTGGAAAGCTCGACAAGCTTGAGAAAATTTCGATGAAAGATTGTTATCGATGCGAGTTACCGGATTCGGTGAAGAATCTAGCGAATCTGGAGGTGAAATGCGGCGAAGAGACTGCGTTGTTGTGGAAAAGATTGAAACCAAAAATGAAGAATCTAACGATCACAGAGGAAGAGACAGAACATAACCTCAACTTCCTTCAACTGTTTTAAGTCAATTTGCTTTTGTGTGTGAGATTTTTTGTAACATTGGAATATATTTATATATACACAGATATGATATTTTACATTACATATATAGGTATGCAAGAAACAAACAGAGACAATACAAAAATGGTAGAAATTGAAACCAGAGGATCAGAACACTGGTCTTAGAACAGATAGAGAAGTGTTTTGGTCATTAAAAAAGTTTTTTTTTATTAGAGAGCGTAAACTATCTCTCCGCTACTGTCAATGTCGATTTCAGATTCAGAATCAAAGTCATCCATGTCATCGTCAAGATCAAGATTGTCTGTCATGAAATCATCTAGGCAACGGTTTCGAACAGCGGGAATCGTGGCTTCAGAGATGATTTGCATGATTGTGTCAAGGCTCTGCATTGGTTGTTCAGGCTCCTGAAACTGGCTTCCTGTGTTGCTCTCGTTCATTAGATCAGCTGGGAGATTCTTCAAGAACCAATTGTGGGTTTTGATCTCTGGAATGCTAATTCTCTGTAACAACATCAAACATCAGAATGTCATCTGGCCGATGGTTAAAGATTAAGAGATGAGGAAGGGGAATGACTTACGGTAGCGGGATCAGCCACAAAGATTCTTGAAATTAGATGACAGCAGTCAGGTGATATCCGTATGTCATCAGGGATCGAGTATTTAACGCTAAGGATTCTCTGTTTCAGGATCATAAAGAGAATAAGAGGATGCTCAAGAGATAAACAAAGAAACAACGTTTTAAGCAGTTACCTGTATTGTTTTCCGATAGTCTCTGGGCTCATCTGGATCTTCGAACGGATAAGCTCCAACCAACATGACATATAAGGTCACACCACATGACCACACATCAGCAATCTGATATTTGTAACACTCAATAATTGGTTATTCACCCATGGAAAAACGCAGATTACAGAGTAATTTATTTTAAAAAAGACGTGTTTACCTTGCCATCATATTCCTGACGAAGCAGAACCTCTGGAGCGATGTATGCAGGAGTACCGACAGTTGACTTTGGTTGTGAATGAAGAACAGAAGACTGACAAAAAGAAATGCATAAGCAAACACTTCAAACAGACATTTGAACTAGTATATAGGGCTAAGAAGAGACAGGGGAAATTAGCATGAGAATAGAGGAACCACAAGTGTACAGTTTCTGATACCAAAAGAACAAAATATTGTGTGATAAGTAATACCTTTGAATATCCAAAATCACAAATTTTTAATCGAGGAGCAGGACTCCCATCCAACAATGTATTCTCAAGCTTTAGGTCGCGATGGCAAATTTGCTTCACAAGAAATGAAAAAAGCAGAGTATCATTAACAACAAGTTCGGAAAAAAACGAGGATACAAATCCATAGGCTCCAAGAAACAATGTCTCTACATACCATTGCATGACAATAACTGACTCCAGATATAAGCTGCTGAAAGAAGAACCGAGCCTGTACAAGAAGAAATCAAAAAGATCAAAAAATAGGGAAACCGAAAACCTGAACTTCCGAGAAGAGAATCAAATACAAACCTCATCTTCATTAAACCGTCCTGCATTGCAAATCCGCTCGTAAAGTTCACCGCCAGAAGCATATTCCATTATGATAGCCAGATGAGTCGGTGTCAAAATGACCTATCCTCAAGTACGTACAAGAAACAGAGTTTAAAGAATCACTCTGGCTTAACAAAATGCAAAGACAAGAACTGAAGAAAAGTGTTTAACTTTTACCTCTTTAAATCTGACAATATTAGGATGCCTTAATGACCTGTGGTTAATAATTTCCCTTTGAACATTCTCATCAATCTGCAACTCCAATAGTAACAAGTACTCAGCCACAAGTCATTCACAACTATCCTAATCTACAAAAGCACAACACTCAAAACCAACTAAAATCCTAATAATATTCACTTAAAGCTCGCATCTTTAAATCACAAACCATAACACACATTAAAAGCACTCAAAAGCATAATCATCATCAAACAAAATCTAAAAACGCTAAATTTAAGTACTAAACCATTAAATCAAACACTAAAAATAAACGATCACTGAACTTCCAAAAATAGAAAAACTAAAATATAAAAAGATGAGATTTTTATATATGAAACCTTGTCTCCTCTCTCGATGTACTTGACAGCAACAAGCTCTTTAGTGAGTTTATCTCTCATAAGACGAGCAACACCAAAATTACCAGAACCAATATCCTTAACGAAGTCATATCGATCACTGTCGTGCATAATCGGCATATCCATAGGTCCTGTTGTCACTGGAGCTCGATCCATCTCTGATCACAAAAAAAGAAATTCGAATCTTTTCTACCCAGAAGAGAATATGTTGTTGTTGTTGTTGTTATTAAGTCGCTGGAATCTAGGAAGAAGAAGATTCGAGAAAATGGAAAAATATCTTCAAGAAGAGAACGAATGAGGAAAGTTGAAGAAAGAAAAAAAAATCAATAATTGGTTGCCCCAAGAGATAAGGATTATCCCAAAACGACAACGTTCTGTGCTTTGATACGACAAGAGCCGCCGCGTTTTGATGATGATTGCTTCGTAAGAAACTATAACCCAAAACAAAATTAATTAAAAATTAAAATGAAAAAAAAAAAAAGGAAAAAGAAAAAGCGCGACTTGACTCGTCCTTGTCTCCTTAAAAACAAACTCTAAATTCTCTGTATTTATCCGTTTCGATTTCTTTCTATTTTTCTTCTTTTTTTCCATTTTGAGAATTAGTGTCAAACAAATATATAGTTGTGAGAAAAATAAGAAAAAAGAAGAAGATATTTTGGTTTTGAATAACAAGATATTTAAAAAAAAAATAGTTTCGAGGAAAACAGAAGCTTGAAAGTCACGTGCTGCAGAAGCGGCCATGTGATGAAAGAATATTCGATAACATTATGCCGTTACTTGACGGTGTTAAACGTTAACACTCACTGCAAAAACGGAACGGAGCTCTGGAGACGGTGATGAATGTTGATGCACTGACAGTGACGTGGCAATTTCTAAGCTTTTAAATTTAATTGATGGGCCTGTCTCTGATTTTGTTAAAGAAAAGGCCTTAAATATATAATCAAATGGCCAGCCCAACTACAACATATAGCATTTTATCATATTGGCATGACATATACAGCAAATCTTAGGTCATTAATTTTGTCGACGCTTAAATTAGAATCTACTAACTAAGGACTGTGTATTAAATTGGATGTTGGATTGACCTAGTTAGAAATCTTTATATGGATTTATTGCGACACGAGACATTGATAAGAGTACCGAGAAGGGTACACTAGTGAGTAGTGACTAGTGTTAGATATAGAGAGATGTATCATGTATGTACGTAGAATTTATTCTTAAGTTAATAAAAAGAGTGAATGGGGTTTATGGGTAAGTGCGCAATTAATGGGTCAGTGCTTAATTTAATGACCGATGCTCATCAATTTCACCACCTTCTCTTTATTGCTATACTAAGCATCCATCCTACTGGTGAGATTAATATACTATTATATGCACATGCACATGAACATTAAGTATCAATACTATTTCTCATGAATCATTCAGGTCAAATATCTAAACCACACTCACATTGATTTAGCTACTGATTTATATGATCATGGTATGGCCAAATTTGTTAAGTGATGAATGAAAGTTTTTAAGGGAGGATTTATAAAGATAAAACGGTGATGATATGGAAGAGAGAGCCAAAAATAAATTAGTGAGTGGTCAAAGATTGTTAATAAATGAACCAACATAATCTTAATTGCCAAGCATTCACACTTAACTACTTCTTTAGCTTCATCTAGCTACTTGATGATTGTTTATAAAGTAGCCTTTTTGTAATTTTTTTGGGACACACTCTCTTTATAAAATGTTGTAGCCTTTTTGTAACTTTTTTGGGTTGCTTAGACTTTTTCTTATTATTTTTATTAACTTTAATCTTTTGTATATTTTTCTCATTTAAAATTTTAGGTATATACACCATATCGATACTTTAAAAAAAATAGAAAGAGTCTCTCAAATAAGAGATTATGAGAGATTTTCTCCACTTTTTTTAGAAACTTTTATTGTTTATTAATACCCTTAACATTTAAAACTATTGTGAGAGACTCCCATTCTACTTGCTGTAAATGGGTTATCCTAAAAAAAAAAAAAACAATTAGTAGGTAAAATAAAACGAGATTTAATTTTTCAGAAGCAACAAATATAAACGCGGGATAGACAAAGATGGATTATTCAAACTTTTTATTTAATATTTCCGATTGACATCGGATATGTGATAAGCCACTCGGGCAAGTAACCCTTCTCTTGACATCTAATTTACAGATAGATTTGCAACCAAAAACACTAATTTCTCCTTTTCTACTTAAACCAAAAGAAATGTCAAAAAATAGTAATAGGAAGATACAAGAAAAAGAAAAAGTAGTATTTGTTTCGGGGATGGAGTGGAGATCATGTTCAATTCAATTTGATACGAGCCTTTGGTTTATACTTTATACTCGTCACCAAAACTGTCTGCGGGACACAAAAATCAACCAAATAACGGTGACTTCTTTGTGAGTCGTTTGACTTTTACGTGGTGGGTGTCTTTTCGCTTTTGGAAGTGCCGACAAAATTAGGAAGAAAGAAAAACTCGATTGCGTCCATAATGCCTTGAGCAAAGTCAGAGTTTCCAACTGCAGGAAAAGTCGAGCAAATATAAGTAAAACCAAAAACAATGGATCCGAGAGAGACTTAAGAAACAATATTATTATTATAAAGAACTTGATCGATGTGGTTGATGCTTGATACATGCACGAATAAAGTGCATCTTATGGGACAACACTTAAAAGATTTCCAGACAGAAAGGTGTAAGCAAATCTTAGACTCTTAAAGATACCCAAATTTTCTCCTTTTTTCAGCTCTAGTAGGTAGAACAAATTAAAGCCAACATAGATCAAATGATTCAAATTATTACCATATCACACAAGTCTAAACCAAGAAATGGTGAAGTGATGTGACCCACCATGATTTATTTACTTTTAAAGTTTAAACCCTACTTCCCTTTGTTATAATAACTAGGTTAGTTATTTATTTTTTTTTTTTTTTTGAACACCAACTAGGTTAGTTAATGTATTATTGTTCAGAGAATCCAACAAAAAGGAAGTTGTTTAAAAATATGGGCTATGGCTATAAGAGTAGGAGAGTTATTGAAGAAATGACAAGGCTTTTTCATTAAATGTTATATATAAACTGTACTATTCCATAAATAAAGAACATTCAAAATGCAGAGAAAATGAAAAAAAAAAAAAATCTCAATGAAACAAAAATCTAAAACCCTAATTGTTATTTATCACTTGTGAAAATTTAAATCAATTTTTTGCCACGTACCTTAGGAAATTTGTTTAGAGTTTATCGAGCAAGCGAGAAGGTCAAAGGCCGTATCTTTTTTTATTACTCCTCAATTAGCGAGATTAACCAATGACACTCCTTCTACCCTCCTCGCTCTCTGAATTCGGCTGCGTCAGCGTTTGCGTCTCCTGCGTTTGAAGCGGTAGCGGCTGAGAAGATTGTGTAGGTATGAATAGTTGAGCCTCATGATGTTGTTGCTGTTGATGATGATGGTGTAACTGCTGATCCGTATGGTAATTATTATTCGTCGAAGGACTATCAACAAAGTTACCTCCAAGAGACATTCCGGTTACCGCTGTACCACCGGAGCTTAACTGATTAAACCCAGTAACCGTAACTGAACCGGCCGGTACAGAGTCAAACCCATTGTTAAACCTCAAAATCTCAGCTTGAGCTTGGTTTTGATGGTGTGGACTACTACTTCCTCCTCCTCCATAAGCTCTAAACATCTCATTTTGTTGCTCTCTCGCAACCGCTGCTAACTGCTGAGCCTCAAAGATCTGTTGTTGCTGTTGATGGTACAATTGTCCGGTTGGAATACCCATCATTGGCAACAAGTTATGTTGATGCTGAGTCAACACAGACGCTGAAGAAGAAGATGGTCGTTGCGGTTGCGGCGGTGGAGACATGAAATGCGGTTGAGGCGGTTGGAGAATAGGAAGCATAGCTTGAGGACCAACGTACGTAGCAAGCTCTTTCTTGGCGTTTTCAAGATCTTGTTGCAGCTGTTTAAGACGGTGTTGAAGGATTGAGATTAAACCGACGCAACCGTAAACCGGATCACGTAGTCGAGCTTCTGCTTCGTAGAATAGAGAGTTTACTGCGTCTTCTCTATGGTTAGAGGCAAGCTCGTTGAGAAGCTTAGCCACGTTACTTGCCCCAAAGACTTTGTGAACGTATGCGAATTTCTGAGGTTGGTCTGGTGGGAAATATGGAGCGAATACACATTCTTGTGTGCATTTTCTTCTCAAGAATTTACAAGCTGCGCAAGGAGAGCTTGAAGACGCCATTTTTGTCTCTCTTGAGAGACTTGAGAGCCTGAGAAGATATAAAAGAAAGAAAAATATTCAGTTTCTTTAAATTAAATAGGAGTAGAAATTATCTTGAAAATAATGAAATAGGGATCGTGAAAATAAATGCATCGAGGAAGCTTCGTGTAAGTCATTAGATGAAGTTGAGAGATTGTATATAAATGTTATCGTGATTCGTGCAACAAAAAATTTCCGTACAAGTAATAGAATAGTGAAATGGAAGGAAAAAAATCAATTTTCTGATTATAAACATTAAGAACCAAGATCAAGATGACCAAGAAAAGTTTTCAGATCTGTTTACAAGGCAAGAAGATTTATTTTTCGAAAGGAAATAAATTAGGTTTATGTGTAGGATAACAAGAAGACGAAGAAGATCAACAGATTCCACAAAATTAAACAAGATACTATAAATATCATAAATGATCAAAGTAAAATCTATCAATATCAATCTCTATCAATCAAACTTTTAACTAAATCAAATCATCGAACAAAATAGGAAAAATCAAACTTACCTCAATTAAACAACGAATCTTTCTCCTTTCCAAAAACCTCTCTATGATCTTTGTTTTGCTAGCTTCGTATCTCACTCTCCTCATCGTTTGATTTCATGATCGATAGCGAGATAGGTTGAGTGAGTAGGAAGTAACTATCGGGCTCTATGGTTTCTGAGAAAACCCAGAGAAACCCTATTATTTGATCTGATCTACGATTTATTCTGCCCTAAGGCTGAAGATTTTATAAAACGAAGAGAAAACCAATAAAAGATCATGAAGGAGAAGAAAATGGGAAAAAAAGAAAAAGGAAGGCTTTTCTAATGACGGGGACGATCTTTTATATCAGTGAATACGCCACAAACCATAGCCGTTGAGATTACAAGAGAGAGTGATTTACCGTCGTTGGATCTCATAATTATTAATTTGGGTTTTAAGTTTTAAGCAAGTACATGTAATTACAGATTTATCCCTGAATTATTTCCTTTTTAATTTTAACTTTAATTATCCCCTAACTGCTGTCTTTGTCTCGAGATAAGTCATTTTCACTCCAAAAATCTTAAATTGATACGAAATCGTTACACAGTTACTTGAAAAAGTCAGCCCCACGAATACACCAATTTTGTTTTTATTTCCTTCTATTAACAAAATCTTTATTACAATTCAGTCCAACGTCGGTCCAATTATTGAATCAAATATATTTTTAGCTTAGATTTGTATTTAACTTACGTGCCTTTGAGTAAGATGATTATGGTCACATGCCAACTGGAGATAGAATTAAAGTGCTTCGTTATGAACAACACAAGTCTAATGTTGCACATGGTTATGTTTTCATCACTGATAATTGTTTTTTTTTTTTTGTTAATCTGTAGTATCGAGTAACTTATATCATTGAATGCAATATCACAGTCAAATTTTTAAGAAAAAATCGTTAAATAAATGTAGGTAAGCATTCATTGCTGAGAAATTTGAACAGTGTCGGAGTACTATTTTATATAGAAAAGAAATATTTTAAAAAAAAAATTCAATTTAAAGTAGAACAAATTTATGTTCTCGTTCCCCCTAAAACTAAAAGTAGTAAATTTCTACCAAAATTAATAAATTATAATAACAAAATTGACCATTTGTAGGGGTATTATTGTAGTTACATACCCAGCCCACTATGAGTTGCCGCACGTGCGCCAGAACCAAAATAATCAACGCAGTTAAATAAAGTTCGGTCAAAACTTCACCACATGGACTTACATAATTTCTTCTTTTTGTCTCATCATTCATTTATTAAAATTTTACTACAAGATTAAAAGGAGAAAAGGATTTAGTCTGATAGTCATATAGATATTCTGACTTATATGATAAGGGCACTTTCAAACGGAAACGCGTAGACAGTTTTAACTTGCAAACAAACATATAATTTTCACGATAATATTTCCATGAAAACGATCAAGATTTTTTTCAAAAATTAGCTTTGGTGATAATATGTTAAAAATAAACTCAACTACTAATGTTTTTGAACAAATAATCGATTATTATTTCTTATATCAGAATTACAGACAATAAATTTCTACACTTTAACTAAAAATAAGGAAAAAATCACAATTAAAAAGTCATCGATAGTTATGTACGCTTAGGTCAGAAAATCATTTAAAAAACAAAAGTTTCAAGGGTGCACAAATACCCATATAGATAAAATAATGATAGTGTATTGGTTTTCAGTTTTCTCCCATTTGTATCGTTGAGTTTTATGAAACCTAGGCAAAAAAATTAACGTAGAAACGTAGAAAAGTAGCATACGGAAAAAAATACAAATAACAAGGGATTGGCGTCAAAAGTTGGTATACAATGGCACTTTTCATACGTACTCGTACCGTCGTACGCATTATACTACATTTTAACTTAAACAAAAATTATGCTCTTTCTGTTCCTAGTTTTGCTTTTTTTACTTGTTCCATCAAAATTGATGTTTTGTAAAAACATTATTATTATTTTTGTTTGTGACCAATAGTAGAAGGAGAGAAGTAAAACTAATATTATTAAACTAACAAAATAATAATTAAAAAATATAAAAGTTACTTTTTCTTAATTTGTGTGTAAAACTAAAATATCATTGTTTTAGGAACAAAGGGAGTACATTTTAACTAGTTATTTTTGAATTTTGATAATAACTAAAAAAAGTGTACGCACTTTTCATTATTTTTGATACAAACCAGCTGTTTTAGAAAACCTTCACTACATAAAACATTCTTACTATTAATAAAAATTTAACAATACATAGAAAACTCTTGAAAAGAAAACAAAAAAAAAAAATCTAGGAGTTGAGATCCGATCTTTAAGACGTCGATCTTTAATACATATTACATACAAATTTGTTTCATTCGTGCAAATCTGATGGCATTCCTGTAATAAACTATTAGAGTAGAAGTAGAACGACGAAAATAGAGGACCAATTGGCTGACGTCGTCCATAGCCAATAGAGTAAGACGGAAGTTTAAAGGTAGGACCAAGTTTTAGAAGAGACAAAAACAAGATATAATACTACATCATATCATCGCTCTATGAATAAATCAAATTTTATAAACGATAAGAATTATAAAAGTTTAATGATGCAAAAATACATTGAAATATTTTTATGTTTTTGGTTACGGTGGTTTAAAACGTACTAAAGTTATGCTTCTCGCTTACTCTTCAGTTAGGCATGAACAAAAAACCGCTAACCAAATAACCGATCAAACCGAACAAAAAATATCGAATCATATTCGAACCGAAGTTTTTAAAATATACGAATGGTTAGTAAAATTCTCTATCCAAACTAACTAAAACCGAACCGAACCGATAACCAAACAGTTAACCGAAAAATCCAAAAACCTTAAGATACTCAAAGATAATATCCAAAACTATAACAAACTCAAAATAATAATTATTTTTAAATTCAAAAACAATCAAATACTTTAAATAATCAAAATATTCCAATATTGTTTGTTATATTTATCAATGTTAAATACTCTTTTACAAAATTGAATCAAATTTTAATTTTCTTTCTAACATTTTTTTTTTTTTTTGTATTTTCTTCGGTTAATTTTGGTTAGTTTCGGTTATATTCGGTAAATTTAAGTTATTTTGGGTAAAAACCCGAACCAAACCGAACATGATAAAAGTTTGGTTAGTTACGATTATCTATTTAAATATCTAAACCGAACAGAACCGAACCGAACCGAAATTCCTAAAATATCCGAATGGTTATTATATTACTATATCTAAATTAACTGAAACCGAACAGAACCGAACCGAAACCAAATAGTTAAACGAATGTCCTGGCCTATCTTCAGTTGTACTGTTCTAGTTACGTATATTTTTGTTTATGAATATGCTGTAAATATGAATATTTGTTTATTTGTCTTCTAATTCGTTATTCTTTCTTGTGGCGTGGGACTTGTGAGGTTGATAATTTGGAGAAGGAATTTGAGATATAAGATAAAAGACGTAAAACACTATTATTTTTTTTTGTCTCATTCTAATATATATTATAAGTTAAAAGTTAAAAAATTCGTTGGGTTTGTTATATATATATCATTGTTATATGTTGACTTTGTTATTTGCTATGATCTAAATAGGATATGATAGACACTGTCACGTGCAATGGACCGTCCCTCATTTGCATGATATTATTGTTTTTGTGAGTCTTATAGTAATATTCTGATTGTCTCCCCTCCAGTTACAGTCTTACAAAAACAACTAATTTTTGAAGTGTGAATAGTGATATAATAGATTAGACGGTGGAAACAATTTAATCATATGAAATAAGCATAACAAATATAGCTATTGTCGACAAACCATCAATTTTACCTGCAACCATAGAAATGTTATATATATAAAAAAAGGATATGAAACACAATTACCATGAGCAAAACGAATATAGAGGGTTGAAGTCACGTAAAGAAACGTACGTATAAAAATAAAGTAATAATGGTTGGTAAGAAAATAAGTCAAAATTAAATAATCAGAGGAGGTATATGGAGTATATGGACATTTGCATCTTTGGCCTATGGACGTGTATACTATAAGCTTAGCGTGTGAGCAACTGCATACTGATACGGCTTTGAAAATTCATAACCAAGACAATGAAAGAATGTTGTTATCACGAAAAAGACAAAAAGCACGACCAAAATTTTCGTGATCATATCTTAATCGACCATCATTTTGTGTAGTTATGTATATTACTGGATAACAAGCAAATTTCGATTAAGATAAATAAAAAACGAACTCTTGTATTTTACTAATAAACAAAAAAAAAAACGAAACAAGGATAAAATAAGACTATGGGCCAATAAAGCCCAATGCTAAATTTGTTTATAGTCCATAGAAAGCCCACAGAGCTTAAACCCTGCCAACGTCTGAACTTTGAAGGAAACAAACCCTAACGTCACATCGAACTCTAAACCACACTGAGATGGCGAAATGGTGGCGTGGCCTGAGATCCGTGGCTAATCTGCCGGCGTCTTCATTCGGTGGATCGATTCGGCGTATTCATCAGTATCAGACGATCCAGGCGATTCCACGTGAAGCTACGGGTCGAGGAGTATCGGCTCGGGATCGGACGATTGGCCGGATTCCCGCCGTGGTTTTCCCGCAATCGCTTCTTGAGACTGACGCTTCGAAGCGAGGCGTTTCGAGGAAGCAGCTATTGACGGCGGATAACAAGCAGATTAAGTCTATTATTGACTCTGTTGGTCTCCCATTTTTCTGTTCGACCACTTTCCAGCTTCAGATCCGAGCTGGTCAGGGTTCGTCGACGCTTGTTGAATCGGGTCGAGTACTTCCTCTTAAGGTATTGCTAGTTTCACTCATTTCGATTTCAATCGCGATCGTATCATGAATTTAGTAAAATACAGATGTTGTGAGTGAATTTGGTGATGGGATTAGTATGGTTTGGTGTTTCTGTTAGATTCATAGAGACGAAGAAAATGGAAAGATACTTAATTTAGTATTCGTATGGGCTGATGATGGAGAGAAGTTGAAGGTTGATGTTCCTGTTGTTTTCAATGGATTGGATAATTGTCCTGGTCTCAAGAAAGGTAACGATTTCGTCCTTTTGTTCGCATTACTTGCATTTTTTTCAGCTAGTGTCACATGTTGTGCTTACTGAGAAATCATGTGAGAACTGATAGGAATGTCGTGTATTGGTCTTGATACTGGTGTTAAGATCTCTTTTTCGACTGATGATAACTTTGCAGATCGGTTTTGTCTTTATTTTTGCTTCGCTAATGGCTAGTGCTCATGTGCTTCTGTTTTATTGCTATCCACCCGTTCTTATGATCGAGCTAAGCCTTGTAAAGAGAAATCTGTCACTTCTATCTGATAGTAAAGTTTACACTTCCAACGGTAAAGGACTTACGAAACCAGATATTTGATACGTTTGTGGTTTTTCTCATTGGTGTAGAGCAAAATTTCACTTTTTTCACATTGGGGAATAGACTAGTTTCATGAGTGTTCTTGATTTAAATCATTTTAGCGACGAAAATTGGATTGTTTACCATTGCCTGATATTTATAAGCTCATTGTTTTTGACAATAACTGTTAGTCTTCTGTTTTGCTATTTCGTTCTTTTAATCTGATTGTCTGTTACTCTGACCAGGGGGAAACCTACGGTCAATCCGAAGCACTCTGAAACTACTAGGGCCAGCGGAACACATTCCATCTAAAATCGAAGTAGATGTGAGCGAACTCGACATTGAAGACAAAGTGTTATTGCAAGACGTTGTATTTCATCCATCACTAAAGCTACTGAGCAAGAATGAAACCATGCCTGTGTGTAAGATTGTCGCCACTAGCCCGGTGAAAGAACCAGAAGCTGTTCAAGCATAAAATAAGTCCCTTGAAAAGGGTAATGTAATGTCTCTCTGAA